TAGTTGAAAGAAGAAGACATCAATTATAAAAATAGAAAATGAAAATATTGGTCTGGGTTAGGTCCGAGTTAGACAAATTTTGCATTTCTAAGATTAGTTGAAAGAAGAAGATATCAATTATAAAAATTTAAATGAAAATATTGGTCTGGGTTAGGTCTGGGTTAGACAAATTTTATATTTGTAATTAAGATTAGTTGAAAGTAGAAGACATCAATTATAAAAATACAATGAAAATATTGGTCTGGGTTAGACAAATTTTGTATTTATATTTGAGATTAGTTGAAACTAGAAAACATCGATTATAAAATTACAAAATGAAAATATTCGTCTGGATTAGGTCTGGATTAAACAAATTTTATATTTATATTTAAGATTAGTTGAAAGAAGAAGACATCAATTATAAAAATATAAAATTAAAATATTGATCCGAGTTAGACAAATTTTGTATTTATATTTAAGATTAGTTGAAAGAAGAAGACATCAATTATAAAAATATAAAATGAAAATATTGGTCTGGGTTAGGTCCGAGTTAGACAAATTTTGCATTTCTAAGATTAGTTGAAAGAAGAAGATATCAATTATAAAAATTTAAATGAAAATATTGGTCTGGGTTAGGTCTGGGTTAGACAAATTTTATATTTGTATTTAAGATTAGTTGAAAGTAGAAGACATCAATTATAAAAATACAATGAAAATATTGGTCTGGGTTAGACAAATTTTGTATTTATATTTGAGATTAGTTGAAACTAGAAAACATCGATTATAAAATTACAAAATGAAAATATTCGTCTGGATTAGGTCTGGGTTAGACAATTTTGTATTTATATTTAAAATCAGTTGAAAGCAGAAGACATCAATTATAAAAATATAATATGAAACTATTGGTCTGGGTTAGGTCTGGGTTACACAAATTTTATATTTGTATTAGGTCGTCCCATATGTTCGTGCCGAGTTTTCTACTGCAACTTGAAGTAATATTTTAAACGTATGATGGAACTTTATGAAATATAGTAAACCTCTTCTCGTTCAACAACTCCTTTCCCTTCTTTTGGCAAAGCCATTGTATCGTCGCTCGAAAACTTGCTGGATATTTTATTCAAATTTAGTTTAACGCTTTTCATTAAAACGTTGACATTTTCAAATTGTTTATCCACTGATAAGCCTGGAGATTGTTATATTTTATATCTTATAAGATTCGGTTGTTATTATATGCTAACAGAAATATTTACGCAACCAGGCTCCTTTACCACGATTAAGAAAATTTTGTTCCATAAGTTAGTGTGGATTCGAAACTTCGAACTTTGACACAATATCTATTTGTTTCAAATTTCTATGAATTGTTGATGTTACTATGTTTGAAATTTCAGAAATCACCTCAACCGACAAATTTTCTTTGTTTTTTATTGGATTACAAATTTGATCCTTATCAATTTCCGAATATCGAACGGCACGAACTTATGGGACGACCTAATATTTCAGATCAGTTGAAAGTAGAAGACATCAATTATAAAAATATAAAATGAAAATATTGGTCTGGGTTAGGTCTGGGTTAGGCAAATTTTATATTTATATTTAAGATTAGTTGAAAGTAGAATACATCAATTATAAAAACATAAAATGAAAATATTGGTTCGTTGTTGTGCTCCCACATGTTCAAGCAGTTTCGATCGTACGAATTTAGATCTCTGTTCCTTTAATAAACAAGAATGGAACATGGTTTCATATATCGATGAGAGTAGAGTAGCGATGGCACCGAATTCCAAACGAACACATAACGAGATGAAATACGAGAAAATCTTTTTTATTTTGTCTGTCTCGATTGTTTTAATTATAAAACAAGGGAAAACATACCATTTAATTTACTCGAGTATCTCTGAAATTATTGACGATAGCAAAAAAAATGTTTCGTGTAAAAGGAGGGTGGTTTTGAGAAATATGCGAAGGTCAAGTTTTTTTTTTAATAGAATTGCATATTTTTTAATGCATTAATTAGTGCAACTTATCATCCCTTCATAAAAATACTAAACCACTTATAATGAAAAATTATCAGTTTGGAAAATATTTTAATTCTTATATCATACTTGTAATGACTCCGCTCATAATATACAGGGTGATCGGCCATCCCTGTGAAAAATTGTAATGGGAGATTTTAGAGGCCAAAATTGGACAAAAATCAAGAATATCAATTTCTTGACTGAAGCTTCATTAAAAAGTTACTAACAAATTTCAAATCATTCTGAAAAAATTATTTTTGGTTGCAGGGCTCAATTACAATCATTTTTGGTCATTGGATATATCTTCGAAATCCTACCCACTTTCGAGAAAAAAATTCAAGAAAGTGTGAAATTTTTCGACAAAATTAACAAATTTTATACCGTGCTAAAAAAATTATTTTTGGTTGCAAGGGTCAATTATTATTATTTTTGGTCGTTAGTCATACCCTCGAAATCCTACCCACTTTCGCGAAAAAAATTCGAGAAGGTATGAAATTTATCGACAAAATTTAAAAATTTCAAATTTTTCTGGAAAAATTATTTTCGATTGTGGGGGTCAATTACAATCACTTTTGATCATTAGACATACCCTCGAAATCCTACCCACTTTCGAGAAAAAAATTCAAGAAGTTGTGAAATTTATCGACAAAATTAAAAAATTTCAAAACGTTCTGGAAAAATTATTTTCGATTGCGGGGGTCTGTTACAATCACTTTTGATCATTAGACATACCCTCGAAATCCTACCCACTTTCGAGAAAAAAATTCAAGAAAGTGTGAAATTTATCGACAAAATTAAAAAATTTCAAAACGTTCTGGAAAAATTATTTTCGGTTGTAGGGCTCAATTACAATCATTTTTGGTGACTAGTCATATCCCCGAAATCCTACCCACTTTCGAGAAAAAAATTCGAGTAGGTGGTCAAATTGCCGTTCTACATCCACAACTTTAAACGTTAATAACTTTTTAACGAAGCCTAAATCAACATATTGGTATTCTTGATTTTCGTCTTATTTTGGCCTCTAGAATCTCCCATTAAAATTTTTCCCAGGGTTGACCGAACTCCCTGTATAAACATAAACTATATGTAAATGTTTACATTGAATGTCTATCTCTGTTTAAGCTGTATTTACTTTTAAGTCCGTCAAACATTACGAGTGCAATATTCGCCAATAGTAATAATAAGTTCTTAGATTTCGAAATGTCTTGGTTGTGAGTTTGAAATGTGTTGTTGATCGATTCCAAAAAATTACTAAAAATATCGTATAACACTTTGAATAACCTCAAATAGTAAATATTGGTATATTCTTACATTGTATCGCAATAGTGCTATTTCATATTTGTATCGTAACTTTCGAATAAAGTTCTAAACGAAGTATAAATATTTACATAACATTTCTTCTTATTTAGGCCCAAAGAGTCAGCTGACAAAATTTGTCCGTTTAGATCTGAGACACCCTGTATAAATCAGACATTCATTCGCTTCTGTTAAAGTTTAATGTCGTGATTGTGTTAAAAAACAATATGTTATCCTAGCTTGTGTTTTCCCAGCTTTCTTGGATCCCCTGTCCTGCCTCAATGTTTCAAAGATTTCGATGCCCCCCTCCCCGTTATAATAATCGATGCAAGTTCTGAAAAAGTGTAATACAAACAGAAACTTTAAACGAAGAAAAAGAAACAAATGCAATACAGTTTCCTAATTGTCTTGAAATATTCAAAATTGACCCCCCCCCTCTATTGGACGTGCACACCACGTTAGGGAACACTGTACAATTGTATAAAGGCAACAATTTATGAAAAATACTATGCAAATACAATAAATTAACTATATATATAATAACTAGACTGCGGATATTTATGCATTTATGGGAAATTTAGATTGTCAAAAAACAATAGAATGCATTTAATATGCAAAAATATAACAAAAACTCAAGTAAGATAAGAATTATTGTATTTAGGGGTTGAAAGAACCCTCTACGAAGCTCTTATTTTATTAATTTTATTAATAAATATATGAATTTGCATAAAAATCCGCAGTCTAATAATAACTAACTATATATAATAACTAACATTCTAATTGTCTGCCATGCAGGACTTGAATCAGTCATTCATATCATTAACACGTCATCGTTAACATGCCACGCTTGTTTTTAACCTCGAAAAATATTTTCGACGTTTGCAGAAATTTTAGTGGGAAATAGAACTCGAAAATAGACACTCGGTCGATCATTGAACATGGTTGAATCATGCGAGGATGAATGTCCACAGAAAAAGAGGGAATGTTAAGTTAAAAATGTTTGTTGTATGCTTTTGTGCGCGTACTTTATTACTGGTTAATGTCGCATTGAAAATGACACGTTTACCTAAGTTTTGCAGCTGTTAGAAATTAATATGTGCAACGAGGAAAAGATTTAAAAGGTTATTGACGTTTAAAGTCGCGCCTGTGGATAGGCAACCTGCGCACAGCTGCGCGCGCACGATGGTGATTCTCTGAGCGAGTGACTTTTCTCAGCGAGAATCGCTATCGCGCGTGCGCAGCTGTGCGCAGATTGCCGTTCAACAGGCGGAACTATAAACGTTAATAACTTTTTAATGAAGCCTCGATCAACAAAATGGTATTCTTCATTTTCGTCTTATTTTGGCCTCTAGAATCTCCCATTAAAATTTTTCCCAGGGTTAGCTAAACACCCTGTATATCATTTGAAATGAAGTATATAGATAGTAATAAACTCAAGAATAAAATTTTTATTTTTTTGAGAAATTAAAATTTGACATTTTTCCCTTTTCTTCGAACTTTTCAAGTGTTGGAATGTTAGTTCAAGCTTCACGCGCCGGTCATCAGCGACATCTTGGCGGTAAACGCGTATTAATAATCAACGTACACTAATAACCAATTTTTCATGGATTCAAGTGTTTCGTAGTAAATAATCTTCCAAACTTTACGATTTCTAAATAATAAGTATGCTTCATTACGCTCGATTACAGAGATTTTGTCTATTTGTTACAGGCGAAGAAGGAAATCTACGATGTAAAACAACAAAGGCTGTGTCTGGCACAGGATGAGTACAATCATCTCAATAATGCTTTAACGACGCTTGGCGCATCGCGTACCAGTTGTGAGTACACCTTAATGATAATACAGTGAATGCTCGATAAATGTCGCTACTCCGGGTCCGGTCAGCAACACTTACGGAATAGGAGAATCGTCTTTCGAATTTGATTTTAGTTTGCCGACGCTTCGAACGTAGAAAGAGTCGATAGCTAAAGAAGAAAGAGGGACTGAAACTCGGATTTATCGCCCCAGTTTAAATATCCGCGCCAGTGTGACCACACTACTGCACAGAAGAAAGTTTTTTATTCTTTACTTTTTTTTTAATAAAAATTTCACTATCACGTTGGGGAGATTTCTCTGATCGAAATGAGGCTAAACACGATATAAATCGGTCAATATTTGGTAGCATAATATTTAATTAAATATTGTACTTGCGAGTCTCTCTCTCTTTATTTATCCTACTTGTGCTGTCCTTTTCTATGTTCGGAAATATCAAAGAACGACGGCGTCGAGGTGCTGGTCTACATTTATCGAACGGGAGGTAGCTATTTTCAAACGGAACGGTTCCACCGTTTCGTAAGTGATCAAAAACTGCAACACTTATGAAATAGGGGGTTTCGTTAGCTACCACTGTTCGATAAATGTACCAATCCACTGACCTTGCGAAGATACGAGTACACAATATTTAATTCAATATTATGGTAACAAATATTGGACGATTTATATCGTGTTTAGTCTCAATTTTAATTAGAAAAATCTTCCCCACGTGATAGTAAAATTTTTATTAAAAAAAAAAGTAAAAAATAAAAATCTTTCTTCTTGTACAGTAGTGTGGTAACACTGACAGGGACATTTAAACTAAGATGACGAAGGCGATAAAGATTTTTAAAGAAAGCCGCTACGTCTCCGGTTACACTTCGCCTCACCGGTTCAAGGGGGATCCCCCTAGTGGTGGGGATAAAAATGTATCATTTATGGAACAGCTCTTGAGGACATTTATCGAGTTTTCACTGTAGTTATTTATCCGAATTTGTTTAATGCTCGAAATATTCTAGAATCTGATAATTCGTCTAAACGGTTTTCTACAGGGTCGTAATAATTATTGTCGGTTACAATTATTTGTATAGAAAGAGTATAGCCGAATAAGGGGGTCAAATGTGCCCCCCAAACCAAATTGAACGTGCGTTTATTCGATAGCTTATCGAAAGAAAACCCTTTGTACCAATTTTTAACCTAAAATCTCAACAGTGGTGGCGAATCCTAACGGTTGGATTCAATCTCACGGTTCGCCCCACTGCAAACTCAATTTAACCTAAAAAAATTGAGACGAATTGTTAATCATAATTATAGATTAGTCAACAACTTCAAAGGTAATACAGTGCTATATGCAACTTATATAAATCAATTTGAAATCAAAATATTCGGTAAATAACATTTATCAAAAGAAATGAATTTAAAATTAGAGTAAATTTTTTGCAACATCGGAATATAGGGGAAAACGGAAATAAAATTAATAATAGGACAGATGGATAGTAAACGATCAATTTTCTCGTAAACAAGGCCTCGAATGGAAAAATATTATTCTTTTTTTTGTTACTGTTGGAATAAAAATCACCGCGTCCCGGCACTAGTTGCATATTCAGCAGTTGGTATCCCTGGTGGGGATGAGACAAGTGTAAATATGGGGGGGTCACCGCGTGTGCTTCCCCTTCTTCTGAAGCGTTCTGCTACGAATCGTTATGTAATGTTATATTGAATTGGAGTTGCACGTGTTTAAATGTAAATTTAGAAATATAAGTTTTTTGTGTTCAAATTAATAATGTGTAGTATTCATTTGGTGTGACACGGCCATATTTTTACATGTAGAATTATCCTCTGTTCGGTTCTACCATTTGTCACGTCTCACCCTCTACACATACATAACATTTTTTGATGGACTATTTATAACAAATACAGCTAATTTTGATATCAAAAGAAGTTTTTACGGAACATTCCTAGCAAACGGCCCGTTCAAGTTCCGGGGTGAGTTATGCGTCATTCGATTCGTCTAATTCAGTACATTATTGATATGCATTTCATTATCTACGGAAATTCGTTATTTTTTTATAAACTGCTTGTAAAGTTACAATAAAAAAGTAAGGTTAAGTAAATTTTGACAGGTTCACAAGTAGAAATAAGTGACTATCGTTGCTATATTCATGTTACAAATTCTAATTTAATAATGCTACATTGTCAAATGAGAATTTGTAGAACGTGCATGCATAAAAATCATTTTTTTACGCACAGACTTTGCATGAGTCGGTCAGGTAGACAGTACACGCAGCAACGGAAAAAAATGTTACCACTTTCCTCCAACAGTGTTTACGGGTAGACAATATAATAAATTACTATTGTACGCAGTGCGTTGGTTCAACTTTTTGTTATTATTAAATTTCATTATCATCATTGTAGCGTGTATTCATATATATCGTTTTCTTAAAAAATGTAACTTACAAATTTAAGTTATTCACACCACTTATAATCACTTTTGTAAACTGTTATATTCATGTATAGCTGTATAACTCTCGCAAGAGTTTCACGAAGCTAAATAATAATAATAAAAAAAAAAAAACAGTAAAAAATGTTGGCACCCTCCTCTAAAGGCGTGATTCCAACGGGGGAAACATGTAGCACGCGGCAATGACACATGTGACGAAACACAATTTTATTAAGGCAACATTTAGGCAACATGTCGCATGCGATTACGAAGCATGCACCATGAAATCAACGTTATGTAGAGACTTGACATGTGTATTTGCTACACATTCATTTGTTTCCTTTCCGAAATAAAGAAATACGGGATTATTTGATATTGTTTTGTCGAATCGACAAGATTGAATATGTCGAGTAATGTCGTCAGTTAATGACAAGTAGCATGCTACAGGTCGCATAGTGTTACCGAACGACATGTGGCATGGTACAAGTTGCATAGTGTTGCCTTAGTGGAATCATACCTTAACAGTGTTTATGGGTAGACAATATAATAAATTACTATTGTACGCAGTGCGTTGGTTTAACTTTTTTTATTATTAAATTTCATTATCATCCAAGTCTGGTATATTTTGATTTTCTGCAGAATCAAATGAAATTTCTGAAATTTCTTTTAATAACTGATTAAATAAATCATCCTTTCCTTGCTTGGAAGATTTATAAAATACGTAATGGCTTAAGTGCCCAATGAAATTATCTTTTTTGCTAAAAATAGAAAATTTTATGGTATTATCTGTTACAGAAAATATTAAAAAACGTGTGAAATTGCAAATACTAACCGACAATATTCAGGCAAAAAGTGTTTACTATGCCTCCACGTAGTTTCTATCGTATTTGTATGAGCGTCTGTTTCTGGGTCTTTGAAATGTAAGCTGTGATTTACGATAAGATGTTTGTACCCCTCTTTCTCTAAGATGTTATAGGCTTTCCAACAATCTGAAATAATTGTTGTGCCAGGCAACGCCCATTGTTTAATTATTGAAAGCAGGGACTCTGTGTCCCTACTTTCAACAGGCACCAGGAATATTTTTCCACTTCCTCTTTCTATTCCTCCAAAAACCCATTGTCCCTCTACACGATGACCTCTGTGATATTTTCTTCGTCCGAACTTAGATTCGTCTATTTCTACTATTTTGCCTGGTCCGCCAAGTACTTCGCATGAATGTTGTAGCCAATCAGTCATAACTTGTTTTACAAAATAATTCCATTGAGAAACAGTATTTTTATTCAATTGTAATTCTCGTACAATCTGATATTGATCAAAATTATGGACTAACATGTAAGTTAATTTTAATACCATTTCATAAGAAAGCTTTGTTTTTCAAAACCAAGTTCCACGTTTTACACATATTTTTACATCACAAGTTCGCTTTCGTTTGCAAGCACTAAGAGATGCTGCAATTGTTCTTCTACAGCGCCAATTTTCATTTATCAATTTCATTGCATTTCCACATCATGGACAATTAAGATTTTTGGCAGTCAACTTTTTATCTTGCAAAAATTTTAATAAAGCTTCTTTATTTTTACAAAATTCGTGCAATTTAAATAAGGTCGACACTTCTGGAACTACTAATTCGGTCATTTTTATAGCACAGTTGAACAAAATTCACAAAGTACAAGAAACAGAAGAAAATCAGAAATGACAGTTGAAACAAATGATTACTGAAACAATTTCTGCTTTTCTTCTGTTTCTTGTACTATCTGCAATGTGGAAATGTTATGAAAATTGGCAATGCAGGATAACTATTCCAGGATCTGTCGATCAAACTAAACGTAGAAGACATCGTAATATAAAGATATTTGCAAAGCAAAGAACGTGGTTTTTTAAAAACAAACTCAGCTATAGATGTTTTAAAATTAACATATATGCTAACATATAATTATGAGCAATGTCATATTATTATATAACTAAAATTAAATAAAAATACTGCTCAGCAATTGGAAGAGTAGAGTAGATTGTCGAGATCGATGAATCAACATTTTGTCATAGAAAATATCACAGAAGTTGCTTGAAAATTAATCACAGCGTCAGTTTTGAAGATCCCATTACCGATGCTTACACGAATTAAATTGAAACCACTTGGAGGCATGCTACACATTTTTTAATCTTTTTTATAACATATAATACTATCAATATTTTATATTTTTAAGAAGAGTAACTTCATTGAATGCCTGAGCCATTATGTATTTAGTAAATGTACCTAATAGGAAAATGGTGATTTATTCAATGAAATATTAGCAGAAATAGTAGAAATTTCATTCAATAAATGTTTAACAAATTAGCATTTGACTACCTAGCATTTTGAACAGAGTAACGACAGTCACTTGTTTCCACCTGTGGATTTGTCAAAATATACTTAACCTTACTTTTTTACTGTAACTTTACGACAAGTTTATAAAAAAATAACGAATTTCCGCAGATAATGAAATGCATATCAATAATGTACTGAATTAGACAAATCGAATGGCGTATAAAGCGTATTAAAGCATATCTCATAATTTTATTAAACTGCGAAAGGATCAATGGATAAAAATAAGATGAGTTTTTTAGTCTCGTGATACAATAAAAGTATGTATATTAAAAGATACAATTGTTATTCGTTTGTTTTGTCCTCAGTATGCTCCAGTTCGAGTTCATTGAGCACGAAGTACGATCCTGATCTTTTGAAATCTGATGTTGCCCTCGCAAGGAGCCGAGTTTCTCGATTGAAACGAGAACTCGAACAGATTCGAGCAGAGATGAACTGTACGCAACGAGGAGTAGACACCCTTGCAAGGTATTGTATTGTTCGTCTTATTCAGAAATTTATTTTTAATGATTATGCGTTGAGCTCCATGTTAGCCATATATGGATAACAGGACTTTTCACTCGGGTGCTAAATAAGTTAATTCATAAGCTAATTCTACCAACAGTTCACTTTGAAGTTATAGTATTAGGTTATGTAGTTATGTATTAGGCTATCCCATAAGTAACGTCATATTCTAATGCTGATTTTCAGCGGATGAAATTAATACTTACAGCCATCTACAGTTTTTGCATAGAATACAAAATTGTAAATAAAAGTTTTCCATTTTACAAAACAGAGTTTCCTTGCAAATATCTTGAAAGCGTTCAGGGATTGTAAAAAAATAAGCGTTGATCTGAATTAGGCCTAAACCTAATAACTAACGAGTAATTTAATTTTATTTCTTGACAATTTCCACTGCTGCGCAGAAATCTGTAACAAAGATGAGTCTCTTGATTAATAAATTAATCTCTCTTAAGATAATCACTTAAATTTCAATCGAATATCAACTTTGCCAAAACAATATACCAAGCCAAACATTGTTACCAATATTATTCCTTTGTTTTTATATTCTATGGCGATTAAAAGTGTTTGTTTTGCTCTAAAATCTGCAAATACACAAAAAAATAAACACATGACAGTAACACTGTTACGCTTTTCCTAATTTATACTAACTACTCATAAAGAATAGTTTCCAAGTTTCTGAAAATCCCAGAAATTGAAAAATAGGAGATATGTGTTTCTTTATTTTTGTCCGTTTTCATATTTAGAGGTTGAAATCACCCCTCAAAATTTAGAAGATGAGACGCAAAGAATCTTATTGTTAGGTTATAGTTACATTCTTATTGTTACGTGTAGTGTCTAAAAACTAATGAGTAATTTGCATTATAACTAGTCACTCTCATTAAGGAATAAACTACTAATCATTTAAATTCCATAAGAAATCTTACAATTAAGTATAAATTATAATGTTCTATGATATCAAAGCAATGATTGCCCCCGCCACACACATACACAGTTATAAAGCCATTAATTTGGCATTATAAAACATAAAATGTTTCCCTTATAAATTCCAAGTCCTTAATCGATATACATTTAAACGAGTAGAGGTAGTTTGTCCCTCGATAAGGGTGATCGATGAGCAACGTATCTTCCATATAGCTAGTTGTAACGAAACTTAAGTTTGCGCCAAGTTTTTATAATGATCTCAATCAGTAAATATGAAAAGGGACAAAAATGAAATAAAAGCAAAGCTATCGGAGGCAGACACTGGGAACCATTTCTTGTCAAATACGATGTTTCCCAGGGTGGCTCTATATTCTTTTAACACACCTTGTATTTGATTTAATTGGAATGTTTGATCTTGTACAGCGTCGAGCAGAAGCTGAGCGGACACCATGGAGGTTGCTACAACATCACAGAGGCCCAGGCAATTATGACGGAACTTCGTAATATCCAAAAGTCCCTGAGCTCGGGGGAGAAAGAGAAAGCCGAATTGATGCAGTCTTTAGCGAAGCTTAAGGACGAGTTAACGAGATTGCAGCTGTGTGAAGGTAGTCCCGAGGCAAGCACGCTCAGTTTACCTCAAGAGAAGCTCAGCACAGCGTCCCAGACTGATTTGTCGGGCGAGTTGATACCGATCGGCACGCGTTTAGCCGAAATGGCCAGGATGAGGTTGCAGTACGACGAGGCAAGGAAAAGGATACAGCACATTCAGCAGCAATTGGCGGACCTCGAGGAAAAGGTGACGCCCGGCCAGACGGAGAGCGACAAAGACAAGCTGTTGCTCTTTCAAGAGAAGGAACAGTTGCTCAGAGAACTCCGGAGCATTACGCCGCGCACGAGAACGCAACAGGACATGAAGAAGATCCAGAGCGAGATACGTCGCCTGGAACAAGACTTGAACAATGCACTCGAATTGTCGAACAAAACCATAACCGATCGCGTACGACTTCACGAGGAGAAACAGTTGTTGTTGCAACAATTGAGGGACGCTCTACGTTCGATGGCGATGCTCGAAGGTCAATTGAAAACGCTCAGCGCTAGCACGCTCTCGGTGAGCAGCAGTTCCAGCCTGGGTAGCCTCAGCACGACCAGCAGCAAGGGTTCCCTAAGCTCTGGATTGAGTTTCACCGATATTTACGGTGGCCCGCAGTGTCTGGGTCCCGTTAGTTCGCAGCAAGAACGTCCTGTTGACATGGTCGACCTACACAGGCGCGTGGAGAGATTGCTCAGGGGTTCGGAACAGAATAATCTCGTCAGCACGCCGTCGCCCGGCAGGTCTCAGCCAAGTTTGTCGCCGAGATCGAGCCTTTCCAGCGTCAGCCCGCCCGTCTCGCCGCTTTATGAGAACGCTCCTATGGGACCACCACCCGCCTACGAGCACATAGAGATGCAAAGGAGGCGGCATCAGAGAGCGTCCGCTTCCTCGATCGTTCATCTAGATGGAAATCAATTGGAGGATCGATTGGCGGAGCTTAGACTTAGTCAGCAGCAACTACCACCGCAGGAACAGTCGTGTAGCGGTTCACAAGATCGTCTTAAACTGGTTGGCGGTCCTCATCCGCCCGTCGAACTGCCGTCGGGAAATATGTCTCAAGGCAGCGGTCTCGGTAGGCCTGTGAGCGCTATACATCAGATACCCTCGCAAGAACCACCGCCCCTTTCACCGATCAGCGAGACACCACCGCCCACTGAAATTCGCTCGAGAGCCAGTAGCTCTGGCACGAACACCAGGTCCGTCTCGGCCGCTGTTTCCGACGAAAGTGTCGCGGGAGATTCGGGAGTCTTCGAAGCGTCCAATCGGAGAAGACTTTCCGGAGTAATCGGTGACGTTGATTCGTTGGCGCTCGGGGAGATGAGCTTGGAAACGGCACAAGTGCAGATCAAGCTTAGGTTCGTTACTTGCTCGTCACAGTGTACCGGTGGTTCTTTACTTTTGAAAAACATTGATTTAAGTAATATGTATTTAAGAACATTATTTTGAGAAACATTGCATAGAAAGAGATGCATGATCTCCGTTAGAATGGCAAAAGAGGTCCGTTGAAAAGAGGTTAAGAATCACTGGTCTCTACAGTTTCTGTCTTTTACATTAGAAAGTAAAACGCAATTACTGTGTAAACATATAGTGTTATAAACAGGAATGATTATAGAAAAGTTTTTATTTATTTAGATATTCCGTATGCGACGGTCTACTTCATGTTGGCATCGAACGTGCGCGAAACCTGGCTGCTCTTTTTATTCCTAGCAACGCGCAAGTGTGAGTATAATTTACTCGTATTTACATATAATTTAGATCTGGTTAGTGCGTACTAAAGTAAACATTGATATACATTTTAAACTTGGTGGAATTAAAATCACCGCAACCCAACACTAGTTGCATATTCAGCAGTTGGTATCCCTGGTGGGGGATGAGACAAGTGTAAATATGGGGGATCACCGCGTGTGCGTTCCCTTCTTCTGTCTCGAACTATTGTGTAAGGTTATGTTGAACTGAAGTTGCACGTATTTAAATGTAAATTTAGAAAAATAAGTTTTGTGTTCAAATTAATAAAGTGTAGTATTCATTTGGTGTGCCACTTTTGTAGTTGTAATTTTTAATAGTGAAGTTTTAATAATTATAATAATGAAGCCACTACGAAGCACATTTCTTATGTTATCTCATTCTTGTTTCTTAACACGTATTCTGTGCTACAGTACGTATGTCGGCGCTGCTGCCGTTCGATGGGTTTATATACAACGCGATACAGTACTATATCATAACATAATTTTAATTCTTACTTCAACAGCCACGGCCACGTGCTGCGCAGATCTCGCCAGTTAACCCTTTGCACTCCTATGTCGAATGTGACGCGACATCAATTTTTATCTCTGGAGCTACTTCGTCAAGTCCCATTTGACGTTTTTTCAAGTCCAGACCAAATCATACACTTGGAAATTACAAAATACAACAACAGTGTAAATGAGACCTAACCGAGACATAACCCAGACCTAACCCAGACTTAACTCAGATCTAATCCAGACCTAACCGAGACATAGCCCAGACATAACCCAGACCTAACACAGACCTAACCTAGACCCTAGATCTGGGTTAGGTCTGGGTTAGGTCTGGGTTATGTCTCGGTTAGGTCTGGGTTAGGTCTGGATTAGATCTGAGTTAGGTCTGGGTTAGGTCTGGGTTAGGTCTGGGTTATGTCTCGGTTAGGTCTGGGTTAGGTCTGGATTAGATCTGAGTTAGGTCTGGGTTAGGTCTGGGTTAGGTCTGGGTTATGTCTCGGTTAGGTCTGGGTTAGGTCTGGATTAGATCTGAGTTAGGTCTGGGTTATGTCTCGGTTAGGTCTGGGTTATGTCCCGGTTAGGTCTGGGTTAGGTCTGGGTTAGGTCTGGGTTAGGTCTGGGTTATGTCCCGGTTAGGTCTGGGTTAGGTCTGGATTAGATCCGAGTTAAGTCTGGGTTAGGTCTGGGTTATGTCTCGGTTAGGTCTCATTTACACTGTTGTATTTTGTAATTTCCAAGTGTATGATTTGGTTTGGACTTGAAAAAACGTCGAATGGGTCTTGACGAAGGAGCTCCTGAGATAAAAATTGATGTCGAGTCACATTCGACATAGGAGTGCGAAGGGTTAAGATAATTTGGATTATTAACTAATCCAGACCTAACGCAGACCTAACCCAGACCTAAACCAGACCTAAACCAGACCTAACCCAGATCTAATTCAGATCTAATCCAGACCTAACCCAGAGCTAACTCAGATCTAATCCAGACCTAACCCAGACCTAACCCAGACCTAACCGAGACATAACCCAGACCTAACCCAGACCTAACCCAGACCTAACCGAGACATAACCCAGACCTAACCCAGACCTAACCCAGACCTAACCGAGACATAACCCAGACCTAACTCAGATCTAATCCAGACCTAACCGAGACATAACCCAGACCTAACCCAGACCTAACCCAGACCTAACTCATATCTAATCCAGACCTAACCCAGACCTAACCGAGACATAACCCAGACCTAACCCAGACCCTAGATCTGGGTTAGGTCTGGATTAGATCTGAGTTAGATCTAAGTTAGGTCTGGGTTAGGTCTGGATTAGATCTGAGTTAGCTCTGGGTTAGGTCTGGATTAGATCTGAATTAGATCTTGGTTAGGTCTGGTTTAGGTCTGGTTTAGGTCTGGGTTAGGTCTGGATTAGTTAATAATCCAAATTATCTTAACCCTTTGCACTCCTATGTCGAGTGTGACTCGACATCAATTTTGATCTCAGGAGCTCCTTCGTCAAGTCCCATTTGACGTTTCTTCAAGTCCAAACCAAATCATACACTTGGAAATTACAAAATACAACAACAGTGTAAATAAAACACTTATTTTAACAGGTAAATTTCAAATAAAACACTTAAAAGCATTGGGAGCCGCTGATAACAAAATTGGAATATAATTTGGAGTGCAAAGGGTTAACAAAACTGTTGCAAAACAACGTATCGAATAAATAATATTTATGTATACATATCAAACAGTTACATTGTGTTTTACTAATTATACTGACGGACAAATATCCTGCAAACAGGTTCTCAAATATATTTTTTCTAAGTTGTATATACAGTTGACCCTTCAGCAGCACGGGTTTGAACAATACAGATTCTTTTTTCTTGACAATTTTCGACAATCGGAGCTTTTTGGGGGTAAAACTGTGCCAATATACGCGTAAATTTGTAAAATTTACCACAAATCCAACTATAAAAGTTACGGGAGAATATGTAGAATAAAATGGAAGTTAAAAGGTTTCGAGATACGAATTTTTAGGAACTTAGTCTAGGAAAGGGGAATCCTAGACTAAAATTGAATTGCTAATTACTAGACTGCGGATCTTTATGCAAATTCACATTTTTATTAATAAAATTAATGAAACGGACGCTTCGCAGAGGGCTGTCTCAACCCCTAAATATAATAATTCGTATCTTACTTTAAGTATTTCTTATATTTTTGCATGTTAAATGCATTCTGTAGTTTTTTGAGGATTAAAATTTCCCATAAATGCATAAACATCCGTAGTCTACTAATTACTTATTTTTTAATATAATACACGTGTGATTCTCACTTTCTGTTCAATGCTACAATCCTATCATACTTTTCGATTTTTATCTTCAAAGAGAATTGAATATAAAATTTATTTATTTGTAAATGGCTACGAGGGGACAAACTCCCCATTTACTCTGTCCTGGCTCTTGCGAGGATCATGAAAATAACAGTTCTCTCTTTGTTTTTATTTAGGTACATAAAAGCTGCGTTACTTCCGATGCAACCACCCATTAATCACATGTGTTGTACAAAACCCGTTGTGGATTTGCACAAACCAACCTTCGGTGAAACATTCCCGATTGCTGTACCACTCAACAAGCTGTATACGAAGACGCTTCAAGTTAACGTTTGGTGTACAGGCAATGAGTCTGAGGAGTGCTTGGTACGTTCTTCTTCTTCTTGTTCTTTCTTTTATTTTTACTTTTTAATAAAACACATATATTTATATGAAGCACCCATTTACGAGGTTATGTATATTTTATTGTATTGTCAATTATTATTTTATCTATATTATGTATATTTTATGTACGTGTAGAATGTTCACGTAATTGTTAGCCAGCATTTTTTTCACTAATGGTAATTATATTGAAAAAATGAAAGAAAGAAAAATTTTGCTGTTTTTTATAAGCAACGTAACAGTATTTGTTAATGTTTTATATTTGAAACAGTTTTCGAGATTCCCAACAATTTAAAACATTCTGTATTCTACAGTCATTTAATTCTTTATCTTTGTTGCGTTGGTGTTTTTTTATTGCATTTATTATTCCTGAAAGAGATACTTAGCGTGTAAAAAAGCATTTATGGAACTGTCTTTCAATTTTGTGTTTCAGGGATCTGCCCAAGTATCCCTTGCAGACTTTAGCCCAGAATTGCCAAGCGTGAAATGGTACAATATACTGTCCTTCCGCTTCATGCAACCGCCTGACAGTCCCAGCACGAGCACCAGCAACAGCAACAGCATCTGCATTAGCATATCGAGGCAAGCTAAGCACGATAAACAAGAATCAGACATATCAGTCTATCGTAGTGGACAAAATACAAAGGAGGAGAGCAGCGACGAGAGTACAATAATCAGCTCTCAGACGTCTACTTTAACGAGGAATCAAGGATGCGATGAGCTGCAAACAGCCATCTCGTTGAGGCTGGAGGAACTAGCTAATTGCTTGGGAAGCCCCGAAGAGGAGGATGAAAATGCTGGTAGCGAAAGCGGAAGCGACGACAGCGACGAAGAGGGGATTATCGTTGAATTCATGATGGAAGATAATGTCTTGGAGGATGTCTTGGAACACGAGGTAACGTTAATTCTAATTAGCCATTTACAACTTTTCTTTCAAACATGAAAACATGAGTTATTTAACGAACAAAGATAAAAATACTCCACTTTACTCCTTGCTAACTTAACACTTTGACTATCACGTCACCCATATATAGGTGACAGAACTTTTAACAGTGGAACTAAAACGATTAATTCTCAAGTTGAAATGTTAAAGAAAATAATTGTGAATAGGCTTCGTAAATTTTAGTGAGATTATGAAAGTGACAAGTATGATAAGTTTTAAGTTACGTAGTTTACAATTGTCTAAAATCAAAGTTTTGATCTCGTAAATGATTGTATGGTTTTAGAGTGGCAGTCGACGTGTTAATAGCACTGATAAGATCAGAACGACTTAGAGGTTTCTATATTACTTTCCGCTGCCATACATTTGTTTAGAGAACCATTGTTAGACACACTGCGGGCCATACTAGGAAAGTTCTAAAAATTTGCCTTGTAACGAGAGTCTTAATCCCTTAACGCTCCTATTTTTCGAATTAATGATCAGGTCTCTATTAGATTTGTTTCTAAGCTATATTAAAGTACGGTTTTTGTTAATTACAATGGGTATATTCCTAGCAAACGGCCCGTTCACCGATCGGGGTGAGTTATACGTCATTCGATTCGTCTAATTCAATACATTATTGATACGCATTTCATTATCTGCAGAAATTCGTTATCTTTTTATAAACTTGTCGTAAAGTTACAGTAAAAAAGTAAGGTTAAGTATATTTTGACAAGTCCACAGGTGGAAACAAGTGACTGTCGTTACTCTGTTCAAAATGCTAGGTAGTCAAATGCTAATTTGTTAAACATTTATTGAATGAAATTTCTGCTATTTCTGCTAATTTTTCATTGAATAAATCACCATTTTTCTATTAGGTACATTTACTAAATACATAATGGCTCAGGCATTCGATGAAGTTACTCTTCTTAAAAATATAAAATATTGATAGTATTATATGTTATAAAAAAGATTAAAAAATGTGTAGCATGCCTCCAAGTGGTTTCAATTTAATTCGTGTAAGCATCAGTAATGGGATCTTCAAAACTGACGCTGTGATTAATTTTCAAGCAACTTCTGTGATATTTTCTATGACAAAATGTTGATTCATCGATCTCGACAATCTACTCTACTCTTCCAATCGCTGAGCAGTATTTTTATTTAATTTTAGTTATATAATAATATGACATTGCTCATAATTATATGTTAGTATATATGTTAATTTTAAAACATCTATAGCTGAGTTTGTTTTTAGAAAACCACGTTCTTTGCTTTGCAAATATCTTTATATTACAATGTCTTTTACGTTTAGCTTGATTAACAGATCCTGGAATAGTTATCCTGCATTGCCAATTTTCATAACATTTCCACATTGCAGATAGTACAAGAAACAGAAGAAAAGCAGAAATTGTTTCAGTAATCATTTGTTTCAACTGTCATTTCTGATTTTCTTCTGTTTCTTGTAATTTGCGAATTTTGTTCAACCGTGCTAAAAAAATGACCGAATTAGTAGTTCCAGAAGTGTGGACCTTATTTAAATTGCACGAATTTTGTAAAAATAGAGAAGCTTTATGAAAATTTTTGCAAGATAAAAAGTTGATTGCCAAAAATCTTAATTGTCCATGATGTGGAAATGCAATGAAATTGATAAATGAAAATTGGCGCTGTAGAAGAACAATTGCAGCATCTCTTAGTGCTTGCAAACGAAAGCGAACTTGTGATGTAAAAATATGTGTAAAACATGGAACGTGGTTTTGAAAAACAAAGCTTTCTTATGAAATGGTATTAAAATTAACTTACATGTTGGTCCATAATTTTGATCAATATCAGATTGTACGAGAATTACAATTGAATAAAAATACTGTTTCTCAATGGAATTATTTTGTAAAACAAGTTATGACTGATTGGCTACAACATTCATGCGAAGTACTTGGCGGACCAGACAAAATAGTAGAAATAGACGAATCTAAGTTCGGACGAAGAAAATATCACAGAGGTCATTGTGTAGAGGGACAATGGGTTTTTGGAGGAATAGAAAGAGGAAGTGGAAAAATATTCCTGGTGCCTGTTGAAAGTAGGGACACAGAGTCCCTGCTTTCAATAATTAAACAATGGGTGTTGCCTGGCACAACAATTATTTCAGATTGTTGGAAAGCCTATAACATCTTAGAGAAAGAGGGGTACAAACATCTTACCGTAAACCACAGCTTACATTTCAAAGACCCAGAAACAGGCGCTCATACAAATACGATAGAAACTACATGGAGGCATAGTAAACACTTTTTGCTTGAATATTGTCGGTTAGTATTTATAATTTCACACGTTTTTTAATATTTTCTGTAACAGATAATACCATAAAATTTTCTATTTTTAGCAAAAAAGTTAATATCATTGGGTATTTAAGCCACTACGTATTTTACAAATTTTCCAAGCAAGGAATGGATGATTTATTTAACCGGCTATTAAAAGAAATTGCAGAAATTTCATTTGATTCTACAGAAAACCAAAATATACCAGACCTAGATGAAAATGACATTTAATAATAAAAAGAAGTTAATCCAACGCACTGCGTACAATAGTAATTTATTATATTCTGTACCCGTAAACACTGTTTGGGGGGGGCAACATTTTTTGCTCTTGCTGCATACACGGTCTACCTACAAGTACTGTCTGAGTTGGGCTGGGTTATATTGGGGGGTGGGGGGGGGGATTGTTGCGGCACATATTTCACTTGTCACTTGTTTCTATCTGTGAACCTGTCAAAAAATGTACCTAACCTTACTTTTTTACTGTAACTTTACGACAAGTTTATAAAAAAATAATGAATTAGACGAATCGAATGACGTATAACTCACAATGTTCCTTACAATGTTGTATCTAACGTATAATTTGAAGGGAAACAAATATTGTCATCCCTTAAACCGTTAGATTAAACAAATATGGTTTTTCAAAGTAGATAGACTCGAACATGAACGTTAAGGGGTTAATATATATATAATCTTCATGACTGTGCATATGTTTTGTAATCATATGATTATCGTAAGTTCCAAGTAAACTTTATAAATATAAATACAATAGGAGGATGAAGAGTTGAACGAAGAGGCCAAGCAGACCCAAGATAAGGAGACCAATACGGAATGTATTTTTATCCCAGAACAAGGAAAGCAAAGGAAACTATCGGCGGCCGGTATTGCGCCAAATAATGCTATATACGACGATAGAAATTCTATTGTAATCAAAAGGAGTCAAACATTTTCACCCAGCGCTGCAGTCAGCAAAAATCACTATATTTGTCGAGTGAGTATTGATTTCAAGATATTGTTCCTCCACATTTTGCGCTAATCGTTCGACTAATTTCTTTATTTTTCTACAGCTGAATCGGAGCGACAGTGACAGTAGTATGCCACTTTATCGTAGAGGGGGTCCCTTCCAACGGAATTCGGTGGAAAGAAGGTCTCTTCGGTGGCGACGTCCTTCTTCCGCGCTTAGTTGTAAAACAACCTCGAAAAAGTGCACTAATCTGCCACCCACTGCTAGAACCTCGTTGGATCTTGAATTGGATCTTCAAGCGCAGCACGCTAGATTGAGCAATCTTCAGGACGAGCTCAGCAGAATGCGCGAATTGAAGCAGAGGTTAGAGCAAGCGCGCGAGAAAGGAGATACCGATTTTACAACCTGGCTGCTGGAGGATCACAAGTTCCAAAGTTTTATGGCACAAGCCGAGAGTGGAAAAAGTGGAAAGACCGCCGAAGACAAACGAGTGGAGAAAATGTTGAAAAGAACTTCGAAAGAGATTTATAAGCTGAGAAAAACGAAAGCTGGGAAAGGAAAGCCAGACATTATTTCTTTCAAGTATGTACATTGACATATATAGCTATAGTGAACGTTGGATATATGCCTGAACTTGTCAACAGCATAAATGCACGGTGTTCATCCTCACCACTGAGGGGGGATTACCCTTGACACATCACAAAGCTCGCCAGTCGAGAAGAACCTTTTACTTACTGTTCTTTTCTACGTTTGACAGTCTTCTTAGACTATTTCCATAATTAGAATCGATAAACGCCTGGCTTAGAGCCCCAATTTTCAGGCATATATCCAACTTTTACTCCCATATAGAGAAACTTCGTTTTCAAAATATTGTATAAGTAGTTAACATTCTTATTAACATCATGTGCATGTGTTTGTTGCGTGTGAGTGTACGTGCATCTGCGTTAGGTATACTTAAACTGCTTTTATCTCGAAAATGAGGCCCCTGAGATTGGAAAATGGGAAAGAATCTTTCAATTTCTCATCGGTCAGAGAATTTGCATGTTTTCCTTATTTTGACGTTTTAGAACACCCTGTGTAGAGAGTTAGATAAATTTTACTCGCAAATTAATAGAAATTTTAGACCCATTCGTAAACTAATTACCATTATTGTGCAATTTGCAAATTATTCGTAAATTAAAATCTATTGATATTCGTGAATAAAATGTGTTCAACTTTACATATGTGCCCATAATTATGAAACTGACCTAAGTCATATATTTCTTGTTTCGAGATATTTAATGAATTGCATTTGAATGAATTAAAAAATATTTTTGTATTATGCAACAATTTTAATTTAGAATTTTATGAGTCTTGATTAATGGAAACTTATTATGAATATGAAATTTTTTGTGAATTTAATACGAAAATGTTTCTAAAATTTGAATTGACTTTGACCATTTTCAAAATTAACTGAATGCCCTATAAATAACTTAAAGCAATAAAAAACTACGAGTTTTAGTAGAAAAAATAATTTTAATGAAATAATGAACATTTATTAATTATTTTTAAAAAGTAATCCATTTCTATCATTTTAGGCTTTTATCATTGAGTTTTTAAAATTCTTAAAATGTTCCTGAAAAATTGGAGGGATGCATGGTAGTAAACACATAATATCTTTATGTTTTTATTCCGTTACTGGTTTAGCGCTGGTGTATAATGGAAGTAATTTAATATTTCCCTATTAAATGTGGTATTTAGAATCATCTGAGGAAGTTTTACAGAACATCTTAAAAGATTCATTTTTCAAGAATCTCATCCATTGAATTTGCAGCCAAGAGACAGATTCCACCACAGTATTTTTTACTCTTCTTGTCGTTGACTCTTCCAGTGGTTTCGTTGAAATAAAATCCAGCTTCTTCTACACTTTTCTATCAATTCATAATAATGCCAAGGGTTGTATAAGTAATTTCCTTTTTTTATTTTCATTTCTATCAACCCAAAATCACACGGTACAGAATCATTCGGTAGAAAGGAATGACCAGATACCAAAAATTTGTGGTCTATCGTTTCAATACTATTATTTGATGACTGAGCAATATTCATCCATGTCGATGCTACTTTGATGTTACGATTTTGGCCTGAACAAGCATCGCTGTAAGCTATTACGTGTTTTTGAGTAGTTCTATCCTCCATATGCATTAAAATGCACGATGCTACTTTCTGCGCACCTCTTGAAGCTGTAGTTTCATCCCATAGATACATCTTGACATTGTCATCGTGGAAATTATGGAAACCCAAGTTGTATACGTACATATTTCGCTTATAATAAGCTAACGAAACAGAAAGTTTTGGTTACGGGAGTGCTTTTTGCAAATCAAATGAGAATCCATAATATTCCCAGGGATTTTCTTTTGCTTTTTTCTAGTCTTCCTGCAAGACAGTTCCTAGCTCGTTTGGAATTTTGCAAATGTAAATCATGACTTTGTCTAAGATGTAACTTCTCTTCCTCGTTACAGCATGCTTCGATTTTTCCCTTCAGTAAATCGCATTTTTGGCACGTGTCTTTTCAAGGAGCATGGAAATTTAAATTAAATTCGGTATTAAACACTTTCTTGTAGATCCACTGCTCAACAAATGATTGGTTATTTTTCTCACATATTTTCTCTACATATAAGCTATACATTTTACTAAATCTAAATCAGGACTCAAATATTTTCGACCAGGAGTGTGATGAGCTCTGGTGTAGTGGCGTTCATATGCTGGGAAACTTAAAATATGTCCTCGTACAGCCTTTATCTTAATTTCATCTGTTTTTCGCGAAGATCCAGGCATCTTCCCGCGACGATCAGTTCCAGGTGTTTCAGCATTCAGAGCGCGAGTTAACCGCCCTACAGAAATTTTAAATATATCTAAAAACAACTTCCTACAAACCGACACTTCTGAATTATTGTTTCTTGACAGAAAATATTTCTAGCTGCATTTTCTCATAGGTCTTTCAAAAGTTCTGAGCCGCCTTTGTTTTATTAATCGTTGATGAACTGTAGTACATAGATATAGATTCTGGGTTTCAAAATCTTTTAGTTTCCAGAAATGATCAAGATTAGATTTTCTTTCATTATACTCTACGCGATCTAAACATTTTTTTTCAGCAAAAGCAATCCTTATTTTCAAAAATGTTGGCACTCACAAGTTTTGATTTTTTTTTTCGTGTATTCTTCTGTATTTCTCTTAATTTTTCTGATATTTTGTGCGTAACCGCTTCCTTTTTTTGTCCTCTTTCATTTCTTACCTTACGCCATTTCTATTGTTTTGCCTTCCACCATTTCTGGGGTTTCTAAATTTGCAGTGAAGTCTTGGTACGATTCATCTAAAGATGATAATTGTCTTATTCTTTTCCATTTCTTTGAAGTAATACGTGGTCGTATAATATCTGCAAATCACATCATATATAAATTATTTTTCCGCCAATAATATGTTCGGAAGTGCCCAACCGAATTAATGGCACTTTCAAAATAGCACTAAATGAATTCCATATAGTGTTGTCGTTTCTGTTATTGTTTGATTGTCATTTGTCAACTTATTGTGCATTTCAAAAACGCGCCAAAGAGGGCCAACGTGCCATTTTGAGCTTATGTTTATATAATTTCTTCAAATTTTTGCCTTAGACCGCTATCATAATTGACACTAAATAAATTCCATATAATATTGAGATTACAACCACCAGTTCATTTTTGACAATGTCGTAAAAGTTACATTGAATTAATTTAGTTTAAAATAATTAATAAACTCATTTTTTTTTAATTTTAACTTGGACCTCTTTCATAATTATGGGCTCATATAATTACCTCTATAATACCTCTATTTTATAAACATTAATGTACCTTCTGTTGGAAATATTATAAGTGTATATCAATTATGTGTTTCAGGGAAAAGATGGCTTTCTTTACGCGCGTTAATCTCAATGTTCCTGTACTGCCATCCGAAGACTCGTCGTACGAAAATGCGTCATTGCCATCATTATCATTCTCCCAGCACAAGAGATACGCATCGGAACCGATAACCAGCGAATCCGTGGCCACTAAACTCGGTGCTCAGGATATCTCGAACGTGGCTACAGGATCGAACAGTGTCTCCAGCGAAAATGTATCCGTAGGAAGAGTCGACGGCGCCGCGGCTAAAAGCACGAGCATCGTTGCAAATTTAAGCGAAGATATTCTGGCCAACAGTACAAATAAATCCGTAAACGCGAAAGGTCGGCCTGTCGTGGTGAAGTTACAGTGCGCGGAGAATGGTCAAGGCGAGAGCCTAAAGTCACTCGAAGAGAATGACAACGAGGAGCCAAGAAGGTACGAGTACGTTGTCGACAGAGTTCTTGGCGTAGAAGTATAATGTTCGTATTTTAGGCTTTTTTTTTTTTCACGAACGAACAGAAAAAGTTGTTCAGATTATTCGAAGAGCGCATCACAGATCGTATGGAAAGAATAGAATGTTCCAGATGCCATGTACAGCGATTAAAAGAAAAAGAGAACATTGCACGAAATACGTTTTAACGGAACATGGTAGATACGTAATGCTAGTGAGACTAGTACAATAAATGTTATTAAGAATTGCTGTCGATATTGTTATTATTATTGAATATCGACGAAACGACACGATTACCGTATAAAGAATGTAGACATATTTGAGACAATAGCGAAAATGCGTCGATCGTGCGCACTGTACATACGAGAACGTAAATTATTTAAATGAAATTTATTGCAAAAATTATTTAATTAATTAATTTCATCGGGTTCCTCTTGCATCCCAGATAAATCCTATGTATCGCTTTGCTCCTTTTCTCTGCGTATCAGAGCGTACTACCCCACCGAGCAGCTGGACTGCAATTTAAAAGTATAACAAAGATATGAGGTAAAGGAAACAGAGAAAGGCACTCGCCCTGGTTGGCTGAATTTTGCCTTGATTCCATTATTACCGTTTCGTAACGTCTTTGAATTCATTTTAAAATTGATAAGCGATTCTCGTTCTACCAGATACTGACAAATATGATCTGTAAGTATCTTTATCGAGTTTTGGAAAGTTCAAATGTTCCATCTTGATTAATAAATGAGCGTGTACGAGTTAATGCTGCCTAATCGACCCAACGTGCAATATTAACCATACACGTACAAGTACACATCCAGGTTGCGTTAATTTCTTTGTGTTCGTATTAATTTTATTCTTTGAGAGAGGAATTAAATGTACTCGTAAACAATAAAAGAAGTATATTGGATGTTTTGTATTAGTGTCGCAATTCTGAAGGGGTCATATACACGCACACATATAGAAGGTGTCTTATTTTAAATCCACGCGATTATCTTTGAAGTATTTATCGATGGACGAAACTGTGCTTCAGGTGGAGATGTTCTTGAAATTTCAAAGTCATCTTTATATTTTTGAATGGAATTATTTACCTTTTTCTTTAACGTTGCACAAATGAATTTGATGATAAATATTTTGTCAGCCTGTATATATTTTTATGGTAAGCTCGATGCAGATATTCTTTCCAAAATCTAATGATGAATTTAGCTTACAATGACAAAATTTCGGACAGAATTAGATACAATATTTCTTAGACGTTAAATCGGTAAAAGAATTGCAATTACTGAATCCAAATTCTCGGTATTTCGTTTTATGGGATTATTTGAAGAATAAAATTTACAGGTTAGAACTTAAAAACAAAGAAAGAAAAAAAATGATTGAAATCATAGAGGCATCTCTGCATGGAACAGCCATGTCCATTAGTGGATCAGATACTCTAAAAATAAAATAATTTTAATGTGAAAGTTTCTTTAATATCATTAAAAATTTAAAGATAATTGCGTGATTCGACTAAAGCGAGACATTTTGTACATGTATATACATAGTGTATGGTCACACCTGGGAAAAATTGTAAAGAGGGATTCTTGAGGCCAAAATAGGACGATAATTAAGAATACTAATTTTTTGATTGAGGCTTCGTTAAAAAGTTATTAAGGTTTTAAGTTGTGGCTGTCGAACGGCAATTTGACCACCTACTCGAATTTTTTTCTCGAAAATGGTTAGGATTTCGGGAATATGACTAGTCACCAAAAATGATTGTAAATAACCCCTGCAATCGAAAATAATTTTTTGAAAACTATTTGAAAGTTTTCAATTTTATTAAAAAATTTGTCAATTACTGAATTTTTTTTCTCGAAAATGGTTAGGATTTCGGGGGTATGACTATTCATAAAAAATAATTGTAATTGACCCCTGAAATCGAAAATAATTTTTCTAAAACGATTTGAAAGTTTTCAATTTTATTAAAAAATTTGTCAATTACTGAATTTTTTTTCTCGAAAATGGTTAGGATTTCGGGGGTATGACTATTTACCAAAAATGATTGTAATTAACCCCAGCAAACGAAAATAATTTTTCCAGAACGATTTGAAAGTTTTCAATTTTGTCGAAAAATTTGTCAATTACTGAATTTTTTTCTCGAAAATGGTTAGGATTTCGGGGGAATGACTATTCACCAAAAATGATTGTAATTGACCCCTGAAATCGAAAATAATTTTTCCAGAACGATTTGAAAGTTTTCAATTTTATTAAAAAATTTGTCAATTACTGAATTTTTTTCTCGAAAATGGTTAGGATTTCGGGGGAATGACTATTCACCAAAAATGATTGTAATTGACCCCTGAAATCGAAAATAATTTTTCTAAAACGATTTGAAAGTTTTCAATTTTATTAAAAAATTTGTCAATTACTGAATTTTTTTTCTCCAAAATGGTTAGGATTTCGAAGGTATGACTATTCACCAAAAATGATTGTAATTGACCCCTGAAATCGAAAATAATTTTTCTAAAACGATTCTTAAATTTTCAATTTTTTCGAAAAATTTGTCTGCTTACTGAATTTTTTTCTCGAAAATGGTTAAGATTTCTGGAATATGACTAGTCACCAAAAATGATTGTAATTGACCCCTGCAATCGAAAATAATTTTTTGAAAACTATTTGAAAGTTTTCAATTTTATTAAAAAACTTGTCAATTACTGAATTTTTTTTCTCGAAAATGGTTAGGATTTCGGGGTTATGACTATTCATAAAAAATGATTGTAATTGACCCCTGAAATCGAAAATAATTTTTCGAAAATTATTTGAAATTTTTTTTTTCGCCGAAAAATCCCCTTTGTCGATTTTTCTTAAATATTCGTTTTTGATTTTTAGTAATTTTGTTTGACGCCCTATAGAAAAGTTGTCTAATCCTTTTTTGTAGGTAGCCATGAGTTCTACTTGAGAAAAAAGTTTCATTGAAATATATTAATTTTCGCAAGAGTTATGGCTGTTTGAAAATTTACACCATCTTTATGGGGGTTTCCCCACTTTACGGGGCCAAGCAACAAATTTTTTCCATATTGTTAGAATTTCTACATACTCCACCAAAATACGCGTTGAGTGCATTTTTAAAAATTGATATCCTTCAATCTGTTTAGAAGTTATGATATTTTTAAAATACGCGCGAAATTTCGGAGAGACATTTCTGGCTTGAAATTATATTTTCGGTAAGGAATTTTTTTCTCGAAAATTTGTAGGATTTCAAGGGTATATGTAATAATAAAAAATGATTGCAGTCGACTCCCGCAACCGAAAATAATTTTTTTAGAATGATTTGAAATTTGTTTAATAACTTTTTAACAAAGTCTTAGTCAAGAAACTAATATTCTTGATTTTCATCATATTTTGGCCTCTAGAATCTCCCATTAAAATTTTTCCCAGTATGGATTTGATATTATTTTTTTTTAGAGAAAGAGAGAGCGTGTGTGTGTGTGTGTGTGTATATTTGACTGTGTATTTTTTACGTATCAAAAATTGGTTGTAAATTCGAACGATGGAGTTTTTATAACAACGTTTCATATCCAACGATTCGTTGCGAGTTTAAAAATAAAAGAAGTTCCTTCGTTGGAGCGAAATTTACATTGTGGTAATATCTGTAGACAAAGACACTCGATCGTCTGTGCAGTAACACGCGTGTTCTTAACGACTAATTTAAAACTAGAAAATAAATAAATATTGCTAGGATTTTCTGTAATGCAATAAATGTTGGAACGATGTCATATCATTAATGCCATAGGATATAAGGAATTTTAACTTTTAATGTTCTGAATGTTATTTCGTACACGTATCGAGGAACCTGATAGGAATTGGTTGTTTTTTTTTTTGTTTTTGGAGGGTGGGGCGGGAGGGGTAGTAAGATTTTAGAGACAGTAATGTAAATTATTTTGTACATATGCATCGACAATCATGTTTACACATTTAGTGTAGTATAAATATATATAGATACCAATTACAATACTTATAACGTTTTTTGTTCTGGTAGAACGAAAACGCGAATTGATATCGTGTAATAGGGTGTCGACTGTATTTTAAGTGCAGTGCCTATTACGTGCGTCTATTTAATAAACGGGTTACGTTAACGAGTTACGTTAGTACCGATAATATTGTTGTTTTACTGTGTTGAATCGAATGTAAAGGGCAAAACCGTGTTGATGGCGACAAAAGATAATAACGACAATAAAACGACAGACAGTACTACGAATAAGGGCAACGACGAATGCCGACAATGATGACAATGAACATGATAAAATATGAAATATGAACCATGGTACTGATATCACTAAGAATAATAATAATAGTAATGATAAGTTCGTAATGACATATACACATATATGAACACGTACATCCTCCGAAAGACAGTATGACTTGCAAGTAATGATAATGATTAAATAGTAATGATTCGTATGATAATGATTAAATGAAAAAAATACAGTATATATTCTTGCCATATTATTTTGTATTTTCAGTTTTGTTTCTCTGATTTCCAACAATTTACATGTTCCTTTGGATTCCTGAAACCTTTTTATGTCATCATTAGGCGGCAATGTATATTAGCATTAGTAAAAACAGTATAGCAGAAGTAAAGGCGGGAAACAAAAGGCTGCATTGAGCAGAACAGGGCAGTGATGGACATTCGTGGGAATTTTGGACATGCGCACTAGAATCTTCCCTCGCGGGATTCCTTCCTGCGCATGCGTCAGCTTTCTGCCATAGATGTAACTTTCTACTTCAAATGCTCGCCAATCACACAAAAATTAACTTATCGAAGATCCCCTACGTATTTCTCTAGCTATACTCGTGTAGATTAAGAGGAAATTTTTTGTTTTTCTCTTTCTCTGTAACTAACTTAAATTTTGTTTCTTACTGGGATCCAACGGTACTCTAAATTCTAGTTAAGTGTATGCGCTCCAGTGCGCATGTCCAAAATTCCCACGATTGTCCATCACTGTTCCAGTGCGCATGACCAAAATACCAACGATTGTCCATCACTGCTCCAGTGCGCATGACCAAAATACCAACGATTGTCCATCACTGCTCCAGTGCGCATGACCAAAATTCTCACGAATGTCCATCACTGGGACAGAGCCCGGCAAACAATGTTAGGTAACCTTAAATATAAGAAAATGATAAGTTACTCTTTTTAACAAGAATTTACTTGCTACGATGTGAAATTATGGATTCCTAGCAAACGGCCCGTTCACCGATCGGGGTGAGTTATACGTCATTCGATTCGTCTAATTCAATACATTATTGATATGCATTTCATTATCTGCGGAAATTCGTTATTTTTTTATAAACTTGTCGTAAAGTTACAGTAAAAAAGTAAGGTTAGGTACATTTTTTTACAGGTTCACAGATAGAAACAAGTGACTATCGTTGCTATGTTTATGTTACAAATATAAATGATTGATCTAATTTGATAATGCTACATTGCCGAACGGGAATTTGTAGAATGCGTATGCATAAAAATCATTTTGTTACGGATAGACTTTGCATGAGTCGGTCAGGTAGACAGTATGTGCCGCAACAATTCCTACCCCCCATATAACCCAGATCAACTCAGACAGTACCTGTAGGTAGACAGTGTATGCAGCAAGAACAAAAAATGTTGCCCCCCCCCAAACAGTGTTTACGGGTAGAGAATATAATAAATTACTATTGTATGCAAGTGCGTTGGATTAACTTTTTTTTATTATTCAATTTCATTATCATCTAGGTCTGGTATATTTTGGTTTTCTGTAGAATCAAATGAAATTTCTGCAATTTCTTTTAATAGCTGGTTAAATAAATCATCCTTTCCTTGCTTGGAAAATTTGTAAAGTACGTAGTGGCTTAAATACCCAATGATATTATCTTTTTTGCTAAAAATAGAAAATTTTGTGGTATTATATGTTACAGAAAATATTAAAAAACGTGCAAAATTACAAATACTAACCGACAATATTCAGGCAAAAAGTGTTTACTATGCCTCCACGTAGTTTCTATCGTATTTGTATGAGCGCCTGTTTCTGGGTCTTTGAAATGTAAGCTGTGATTTACGGTAAGATGTTTGTACCCCTCTTTCTCTGAGATGTTATAGGCTTTCCAACAATCTGAAATAATTGTTGTGCCAGGCAACACCCATTGTTTAATTATTGAAAGCAGGGACTCTGTGTCCCTACTTTCAACAGGCACCAGGAATATTTTCTCACTTCCTCTTTCTATTCCTCCAAAAACCCATTGCCCCTCTACACGATGACCTCTGTGATATTTTCTTCGTCCGAACTTAGATTCGTCTATTTCTACTATATTGCCTGGTCCGCCAAGTACTTCGCATGAATGTTGTAGCCAATCAGTCATAACTTGTTTTACAAAATAATTCCATTGAGAAACAGTATTTTTATTCAATTGTAATTCTCGTACAATCTGATATTGATCAAAATTATGGACTAACATGTAAGTTAATTTTAATACCATTTCATAAGAAAGCTTTGTTTTTCAAAACCACGTTCCATGTTTTACACATATTTTTACATCACAAGTTCGCTTTCGTTTGCAAGCACTAAGAGATGCTGCAATTGTTCTTCTACAGCGCCAATTTTCATTTATCAATTTCATTGCATTTCCACATCATGGACAATTAAGATTTTTGGCAATCAACTTTTTATCTTGCAAAAATATTAATAAAGCTTCTTTATTTTTACAAAATTCGTGCAATTTAAATAAGGTCCACACTTCTGGAACTACTAATTCCGTCATTTTTATCGCACAGTTGAACAAAATTCACAAAGTACAAAAAACAGATGAAAATCAGAAATGACAGTTGAAACAAATGATTACTGAAACAATTTCTGCTTTTCTTCTGTTTCTTGTACTATCTGCAATGTGGAAATGTTATGAAAATTGGCAATGCAGGATAACTATTCCAGGATCTGTCGATCAAACTAAACGTAGAAGACATTGTAATATAAAGATATTTGCAAAGCAAAGAACGTGGTTTTCTAAAAACAAACTCAGCTATAGATGTTTTAAAATGAACATATATACTAACATATAATTATGAGCAATGTCACATTATTATATAACTAAAATTAAATAAAAATACTGCTCAGAAATTGGAAGAGTAGAGTAGATTGTCGAGATCGATGAATCAACATTTTGTCATAGAAAATATCACAGAGGTCGCTTGAAAAATAATCACAGCGTCAGTTTTGAAGGTCCCATTACCGATGCTTATACGAATTAAATTGAAACCACTTGGAGGCATGCTACACATTTTTTAATCTTTTTTATAACATATAATACTATCGATATTTTATATTTTTAAGAAGAGTAACTTCATCGAATGCCTGAGCCATTATGTATTTAGTAAATGTACCTAATAGAAAAATGGTGATTTATTCAATGAAATATTAGCAGAAATAGTAGAAATTTCATTCAATAAATGTTCAACAAATTAGCATTTGACTACCTAGCATTTTGAACAGAGTAACGACAGTCACTTGTTTCCACCTGTGGATTTGTCAAAATATACTTAACCTTACTTTTTTACTGTAACTTTACGACAAGTTTATAAAAAAATAACGAATTTCCGCAGATAATGAAATGCATATCAATAATGTATTGAATTAGACGAATCGAATGACGTATAATTCACCCCGATCGGTGAACGGGCCGTTTGCTAGGAATATACCGAAATTATTCGTTGACTATATAAAGTAAAGGACCCATTTACTGTCGCCTTAAATTATTTTACTTAAATATCGAATGAACCTTATAAAATTAATACGCACAGAAGTCTAATATAACCTTATAAGTATTATACAATGAATATGATAGACAGGACTTGATTTTCGTATGAAATTATAGAAAATTTTAAGATGACTTAAAAGTGAGAAAGCGAAGATACCAAAGAAAAGGCTATTGTTGTAGTAGTTGAGTTATGAACGTTATAAAATATGAATTTCTTAGGTTATATCAGGTAATACAACAATCGATTCAGTTTTTTGTTTGATATTTGAATGACAGTAACTGGTACAAAGGTTTCACGAATTTAGTAACAACAAACGAAAGTAGAAACGTATGTTTTTGATAAATAAATACAAAAAAAAATGAATGTAAATTGTTAGAATTGATCGTTTGGATAACAGTAATCGAGTTTTTTTACCTTATCTATATCTAAATAATGGATGAATTATAAATAAATATTTTTGTATTACTTCGAATTCAATTTATTAATAATGCATTTATAATAATATTCAATCTGTATTTTATCCAAAAGTATTCTCGATATCATTTAACCTTAAAATAAATTGTTCTATAACAATTTCAATAGTTGCCAAACGTTTACCTTTACCACTTGGATCATTTAATCCGAAGGGAAGCATAGAAGTTAGGTCTTTGGAAACTTTCAAATACTGACACAAGTAAGACATGATTCATAACATAAATCAAGGGAATACGTTTCTCCAAAATATAAAACAGAAAATATCGTTCTATGACATAAATTTGTACATACAACAAAAGCAAATAAATTCATTTTAAGCATTTTTAAGTTATCCCTCTTAGAACACGGTTCGAGAATTTGGGGAATCCCCCCGTTTAATACTATGTTCCTACCACACGACTTGGGTCTGATTAAAGATTTGGGGATATTCCAAGCGTTTTAAATTATCTTAACACTTTACCGACCGGTAGCGGTTGATTAATCGGCTATCGGTCGGTAAGCGTTGGTCGGTAAAGAAGTTGATTAATACGCTATCGGTCGGTAAGTGTTGGTCGGTAAAAAAGTCGATTAATAGGCTATCGGTCGGTAATGTGTTAATTTTTAAGTACAAACACCGTCGTTCAATGTTTATGTATTCAGAGTATATCTCAGGTAGAATACACATTAAAAATGTCGACGAAGCAACGAGTGAAACGCGTGTGCGCATGACAAGATACCGTGTCGGCACGACGATTCACTACCAGTGTGGCCAGATCTGGCGTAGCCGAGTGCATCGACGTCGACATCAGTAACGACGAACTTCCTTAGTGTCTAACGAAGTGGTGGGGATAGTAGATATATACTACCGCACGAGCCACGTGTACGTGAGCTCGGCGCTTGCGCACAACTTCGGGAAATCGATAAAGAACGCTAGTGTGAGCCTTTCCTTCTTGCTCTTGTAACAGCTGAAATACAATATACGCATTTTCGAGAAAAAAATTCAGAAAAAGGCCCAAATTTTTTGACGAAAAAAATTTCTTTTTTTTCAATAGTCACGATATGATCGGGGTCTTAAAACTTGTATGTTGTTGGAGTCCAAGGAAGAACACGAGTTACTGACGTAGACTGGTTTAATATCGACGGGCTTACAGTTTCGACTGGACACAAGAAGACCCTTTTTCGGGGTTTTGTCCCTATTTATCGGTTTGTAGTGAGAGGGGAAGAGGAGCCGGATGACTACTCTAGTAGCACACGGATAAATCATAGTGTTGATGAGTAAAATCGTGTCTCAGTGTTTACAATCTAGGGTACACTGACTTTGTATGGCCTTACTCAGCGATGTGACTCAAGGAGAAAAATACCATGATTCATGCGTGTCATCCGACAATGTCCGTTAAACAAAATTTTTGAAGTTTTTCTTTCATTATGATACTTATACTATACATAGGGCGAGAAGTAAAAATGCTGGGGGCAGTCTGGACTTGGAATCGTATGCCGATTATCGCGTGGTCGTATTTCAACTGTTGCAAGAGCAAGAAGGAAAGGTACACACTAGCGTTCTTTATCGATTTCCCGAAGTTGTGCGAAGTGCTGGTCTCACGTACACGTGGCTCATGCGGTAGTGTATGCCTGCTATCCCCACCACTCCGTTGGACGCTAGGGAGGTTCGTCGTTACTAACGTCGACGTCGATGTGCTCGATTACGCCAGATCTGGCCACACTGTTCACTACCATTTGGATTAGCTAGCCTAGTGGGATCGTCGACGGCGTTTCCCTCTCCTTAGTCAGAACGGAGCGCGTTCACCGCAATGCTGCTTTGCGGTGCTTTATGTTCTGCGTTGTCGGTTTCATTCGGTGCGATCGTACAAGTCGTTATCTTTCTTCTACAGAATTCAAACGTCTTCTTGAGAGTGCAAGCCTCCCTTCCGCCGGGAGCTGGTCAGTTACACTTTCATTTATCCTATACCAATAATAACATTCGAAATTTGATAAATCTCTCCTACTACCGAATCAGTCGGGTCGATGGAAATATGTAGATTCGTAAAACGCGACATTAATTATGATCAATGTACGTTTGGGTAACTATATAAGCCTTTTTGCAAACTTTCTTCATTTTTTTCCCCCCCCCTCTTTTTAACCCTTTCTACTCTTGTTATAGTCTTTAGTTTTCTTCCATGAAAATTGTATGGTCATCACACCTTGAATACCGAAGGTATAGTTCCCCTTTCACGTCAATACTTGAGTTATGTGAGAACGTTAACAGATTTTATTTTTCTGCAGTTTTAAACATCGTTATGAATCTTTTTAATTCGTATGTAAACAAGGTGTTCGTTCGAAAAAGAATTCAGTCGAAACATTTCGAAAACGATGCTCGAAACATTTTTGAGAAAAACAAAAGTTTCTCAATTTCAAGGGAAACGTACAACTATCCTGTTTATGTTTTTTATTTGTTAAGTGTTTTAAAAGTTATTTGAAGATAACTTTGTTCTTTTTCTGATAAAAATTAGATCCTATTCCACGGGGGAAAAAAGGAATAAACTTTTGTCTCACGTCTCGTGTTAACAAGATATTTAACTATTTTTCTGTTGACCAAATGATAATAAAGTCACATTTTATAGTTGTAAGAAGTGATTGACCGCTACAGTGAGCTTTTTTTTAACATAAACACTGTTTATGACATTGTTACATGCAATGTGTGTGTGTGTGTCTGTGTGTGTCTGTGGGTGTGTGTCTGTGTGTGTGTGTGTGTCTCTCTCTCTCTCTCTGTGTGTGTGTGTGTGTGTGTGTGTGTATTGTTTATGATCGTCTAATTCCCTCAGTATTTCTCCAGTGTTTATAAATATGTACAGTGCCATTAAGAAAAGTAATTTTTGACCGACCGCAGAATCGTAATGTTTCATATTGGATTTCTGAATCAGATCGAACGATCGAATGACAGAATTAAAATTTGCAAGTGTTACTTAAGTGATACTTGTAACAAATTATTATGGCATTTCGTGATTTGAATTCCGTTTCCAACGTCATAGAGTCTATAAAGTTATGTGAACTTGTTGCACACTACGTGAATCATATTGATTAAGATTATTTAAATTTATGGTTACTCGAAATATTTCGACTATCTACATACACCATAGACGGTTTAAATAATTCAGTGATAAGCTGCATGTGCGCGTCAACTAATCGATACTATTATCAGCGTTATGTTACTCAGCATACACATACCCCTAATGCGTTATACAGGGTGTTCGAACAACACTGGAAAAAATTTTGATGGGAGATTCTAGGCGCCAAAATAAGACGAAAATTAAGAATAGTAATTTGTTGATGGAGGCTTCGTTAAAAAGTTATTAACATTTAAAGTTCTGTCTGTACCGAATTTTTTTCTAGAAAGTGGGTAGGATTTCGAGGTTATGTCTGTTCATCAAAAATGATTGTAATTTACCCCTGCAAACAATAATAATTTTTCTAAAACGATTCTGAAGTTTTCAATTTTGTCAAAAAATTTGTCCGCTTACTGTATTTTTTTCTCCAAAATGGTTAGAATTTCGGGGTTATGACTATTCACCAAAAATGATTGTAATTGACCCCTGCAATCGAAAATAATTTTTCCAGGACGATTTGAGAGTTTTCAATTTTGTCAAAAAATTTGTCCGCTTACTGTATTTTTTTCTCCAAAATGGTTAGGATTTCGAGGTTATGTCTGTTCATCAAAAATGATTGTAATTAACCCCTGCAATCAAAAATAATTTTTTTAAACGATTCTGAAGTTTTCAATTTTGTCAAAAAATTTGTCCGCTTACTGTATTTTTTTCTCCAAAATGGTTAGGATTTCGAGGTTATGTCTGTTCACCAAAAATGATTGTAATTGACCCCTGCAATCAAAAATAATTTTTCTAAAACTGTTTGAAATTTTTGAATTTTGTCGAAAAATTTCGCACCTTCTCGAATTTTTTTCTCAAATAAAAAAAGAAGGGTAGGATTGCGAGAGTATGTCTAATGACCAAAAATTATTATAATTGATCCCTGTAGCCAAAAATAATTTTTTTTATAACGATTTCAAATTTTTTAATTTCGTCGAAAAATTTGTTCACTTAATCAATTTTTTTCTCGAAAATGGTTAAAATTTCGGGGGTATGTCTGTTCACCAAAAATTGTTGTAATTGACCCCCGCAACCGAAAATAATTTTTCCAGAACTATTTGAAATTTTTTTTTCGTCGAAAAATTTAGACACCCACCCCTTGTCGATTTTTCTTAAAAATTTGTTTCTCAATTTTTAGTAATTATGTTTAACGCTCTACAGAGAAGTTGTGTAATACTTTTTGGCAGGTATCCATGAACTCTACTTCCACCCAAAATTTCAATGAAATATATTCACTATTGTAGGAGTTATGGCCGTTTGAAAATTGGACCAGTTTTATGGGGTTAAGAAACAATTTCTCGAATATTCTTCGAATCTCTATATATTCTGCACTAAAATACGCATTAAAATCCTCCGATCCGTACAGAAGTTATGACGTTTTAAAGATACGTACGAAATTTTGAAGAGACATTTCGAATTTATATTTTCGCAAAAGGAATTTTTTTCTCGAAGGTGGATAGAATTTCGAAGGTATGTCTATCGACCAAAAATGATTATAAATGACCCCTGTAGCCAAAAATAATTTTTTTATAATAATTTGAAATTTTTTAATTTCGTCGAAAAATTTGTCCACTTAATCAATTTTTTTCTCGAAAATGGTTAGAATTTCGGTGTTATGTCTGTTCACCAAAAATGATTGTAATCGACCCATGCAACCAAAAATAATTTTTCCAGAACTATTTGAAATTTTTGAATTTTGTCGAAATATTTCAAACCTCGAATTTTTTTCTCAAAAAAAAAAAAAGAAGGGTAGGATCGCAAGGGTATGTCTAATGACCAAAAATGATTATAATTGACCCCTGTAGTCAAAAATAATTTGTTTATAATGATTTAAAATTTTTCAATTTCGTCGAAAAATTTAGACACTCATTATACGAAATTGCTTAGTTCTTAGTAAATGCAACCGAGTTAAGAAATACGTTGCAACTTACAATAATACGATTTTGTATTATTTATTTAATTTATTTAACGTCGTTATTACTCAAAACACGAACACCAACATTTTACAAGGAAGAACAAATTTTGTAGAAATAGAGCAAAGGACGAAATTTAACAATATGATATCTATTTTTTTTTAACCTAATCTTGAGTTACCCGTGTGATTAGCGTGAATTCATAACAACGTATGAATATCTGAAAATATACGAGAAGAGGCTATAAAATACAACGGCATTCAATGTAAGATTGCGAGGATCAATGAGGACCAATTTATCTTATTTTTACATAGGAACTTGCTTTCCTATCGATTTAACACTAGTACCACCACGAGCTAGAACTAACCAAAGTGTATGTACGCAAGTTTCAACTTTATACGAGTATACGAGCAATGTACATACGTACAGGGTGTTCAAGAATACCAATTTGTTGATGGAGGCTTCGTTAAAAAGTTATTAACAATTAATTTCAAAAATTTCAAATCGTTCTGGAAAAATTATCTTCAGTTGCGATGGTCAATTACAATCATTTTTGGTGAATAGACATACCCCTGAAATCCTGCGTATTTTCTAGAAAAAAATTCAGGAATGTGGGCAAATTCGGTGAAATTAAAAAATTTCAAATCGTTCTGGAAAAATTATTTTCAGTTGCAGGGGTCAATTGCAATAATTTTTGGTGAATAGACATACCTTCGAAATCCTGCGCAATTTCTAGAAAAAAATTCGGAAATATGTAAAATTTTTTGACGGAAAAAAAAAATTCCAATTGTTTTGGAAAAATTATTTTCGATTGCGGGGGTCAATTATAATAATTTTTGGTGAATAGACATACCCCTGAAATCCTAACCACTTTCTAGAAAAAATTCAAAAAGGTGTGAAATTTTTCGACGGAAAAAAAATTTCAAATCGTTCTGGAAAAATTATTATCGGTTGCGGGGGTCAATTACAATCATTTTTAGTCATTACACATAACCCCGAAATCATACGCATTTTCGAGAAAAAAATTCTTTACCGAAAATCTAATTAGGTGCCTAAACGTCGACAAAAAAAATTTCAAATCGTTCTGGAAAAATTATCTTCGGTTGCGATGGTCAATTACAATTATTTTTGGTGAATAGACATAACCCCGAAATCCTGCGCATTTTCGAGAAAAAAATTCAAGAAGGTCTGAAATTTTTCGACGGAAAAAAAAAATGTCTAATCCTTCTGGAAAAATTATCTTCAGTTGCGATGGTCAATTACAATCATTTTTGGTGAATAGACATACCCCCGAAATCCTGCGCATTTTCGAGAAAAAAATTCAAGAAAGTGAAATTTTTCGACGAAATTAAAAAATTTCAAATCATTATAAAAAAATTATTTTTGGCTACAGGGGTCAATTATAATAATTTTTGGTCATTAGACATACCCTCGCAATCCTACCCTTCTTTTTTTTTTGTGAAAAAAATTCGAGAAAGTGTGAAATTTTTCGACAAAATTCAAAAATTTCAAATCGTTCTGGAAAAATTATTATCGGTTGCGGGGGTCAATTACAATCATTTTTAGTCATTACACATAACCCCGAAATCATACGCACTTTCGAGAAAAAAATTCTTTACCGAAAATCTAATTAGGTGCCTAAACGTCGACAAAAAAAATTTCAAATCGTTCTGGAAAAATTATCTTCGGTTGCGATGGTCAATTACAATCATTTTTGGTGAATAGACATAACCCCGAAATCCTGCGCATTTTCGAGAAAAAAATTCAAGAAGGTCTGAAATTTTTCGACGGAAAAAAAAAATGTCTAATCCTTCTGGAAAAATTATCTTCAGTTGCGATGGTCAATTACAATCATTTTTGGTGAATAGACATACCCCCGAAATCC